CGCGGTGGCCACGTCGGTGACGTCATCAGTGGTGGCACCCCGAGGCGGCCGGCGGCGGAAGAAGGTCAGTGTTGGTGGCCAAAACCCAACCCTGGTGGCCAAAACCCGACCCCAGCGATCGAGGGCGAACTGTGGCAGCCAAACACCAACCCTGGTGGCCAAACACCAACCCTGGTGGCCAAAAGTCAACCCTGGTGATTGAGTGTCAATGTTGGCAGCCAAATGGTGGCCAAACGTCAACGTTGGTGGCCAAAAGTCAACCCTGGTGATTGAGTGTCAATGTTGGCAGCCAAATGGTGGCCAAACGTCAACGTTGGTGGCCAAATGTCAACCCTGGTTGCCCAAAGTCGACCCTGGTATCAAAGGTGAACTGTGGCAGCCAAACACCAACCCTGGTGGCCAAAAGTCAACCCTGGTGGCCAAATGTCAACCCTGGTGGCCGAAACTCAATGGTGGCAGCCAAATGGTGGCCAAAAGTCAACGTTGGTGGCCAAAAGTCAACCCTGGTGGCCAAAAGTCAACCCTGGTGATTGAAGACCAGTGGCGGCAGCCAAACACCGACCCTGGTGGCCAAACATCAATGCTGGTGGGGTGGCCAAACGTCAACGTTGGTGGCCAAAAGTCAACCCTGGTGATTGAGTGTCAATGTTGGCAGCCAAATGGTGGCCAAACGTCAACGTTGGTGGCCAAATGTCAACCCTGGTTGCCCAAAGTCGACCCTGGTATCAAAGGTGAACTGTGGCAGCCAAACACCAACCCTGGTGGCCAAAAGTCAACCCTGGTGGCCAAATGTCAACCCTGGTGGCCGAAACTCAATGGTGGCAGCCAAATGGTGGCCAAAAGTCAACGTTGGTGGCCAAAAGTCAACCCTGGTGATTGAAGACCAGTGGCGGCAGCCAAACACCGACCCTGGTGGCCAAACATCAATGCTGGTGGCCAAACGTCAACCTTGGTGGCCAAGAGCCAACCACGGTGGCCCAAAGCCGACCCCAGTGACCGAACCCCGCCCCCGGCTAGTTGAGGGTGCCGTGACTGGCCCCCGGCTAGTTGAGCGTGCCGCGGCAGCTCTCGGTGCGGCACAGGCACGGGATCTTGGTGTCCTCGATGGGGAACTTGTAGTCGTAGGTGATCTCCTCGTTGACGCCGATGGGCTGCTTGGAGTAGATGACGATCTTCTTCTGCGCCTCGATGGTGATCACCTTGGCGTAGCAGTTGGGCTGGGGAGGCACGCGGGTCAGAAAACCCAAAAAAACGCCCCGAAAACACCCCCAAAAAACCCCAGAAACACCCCAAAAAACCTACGGTTTACCCTAATTATTACACTAAAATAAATATAAATTATCAATTTCTGTGCCTCGATGGTGATCACCTTGGCGTAGCAGTTGGGCTGGGGAGGCAGGCGGGTCAGAAAACCCAAAAAAACGCCCTGAAAACACCCCAGAAACACCCCAAAAACACCCCAAAAAACCTACGGTTTACCCTAATTATTATCCTAATTATTACACTAAAATAAATATAAATTATCAATTTCTGCGCCTCGATGGTGATCACCTTGGCGTAGCAGTTGGGCTGGGGAGGCGCGCGGGTCACAAAACCCAAAAAAAACCCCAAAACCGCCCCAAAAAACCTATGATTTACCCTAATTATTACCCTAATATAAGTATAAATTATTGCTTTAATATGAATATAAATTATGACCCCGATATAAATATAAATTATGTCCCTAATATAAACTATTGAATACTGAACATTGAATATTGACCCTAATTATTACACTAAAATAAATATAAATTATCAATTTCTGCGCCTCGATGGTGATCACCTTGGCGTAGCAGTTGGGCTGGGGAGGCACGCGGGTCACAAAACCCAAAAAAAACCCCAAAACCGCCCCAAAAAACCTATGATTTACCCTAATTATTACCCTAATATAAGTATAAATTATTGCTTTAATATGAATATAAATTATGACCCCGATATAAATATAAATTATGTCCCTAATATAAACTATTGAATACTGAACATTGAATATTGAACACTGAATATTAAACATTGAACACTGAATATTGATCACTGAATATCGAATATTGATCACTGAATATCGACTATTGATCACTGAATATTGACTATTGAACACTGAATATTGACTATTTAACACTGAATATTGACTATTGATGGCTGAATATCAAATATTGATCACTGAATATCGACTATTGAATGATTTACTCTAATTATTATCCTAATTATTACACTAAAATAAATATAAATTATCAATTTCTGCGCCTCGATGGTGATCACCTTGGCGTAGCAGTTGGGCTGGGGAGGCGCGCGGGTCACAAAACCCAAAAAAAACCCCAAAACCGCCCCAAAAAACCTATGATTTACCCTAATTATTACCCTAATATAAGTATAAATTATTGCTTTAATATGAATATAAATTATGACCCCGATATAAATATAAATTATGTCCCTAATATAAACTATTGAATACTGAACATTGAATATTGAACACTGAATATTAAACACTGAACACTGAATATTGATCATTGAATATCGACTATTGATCACTGAATATCGAATATTGATCACTGAATATCAACTATTGATCACTGAATATTGACTATTGAACACTGAATATTGACTATTGATGGCTGAATATCAAATATTGATCACTGAATATCGACTATTGACTATTGATCTCTGAACACTGAATATTGATCACTGAACACTGACTACTGAATATCAAATATTGAACACTGAATATCAACTATTGATCACTGAATATTGACTATTGATCACTGAATATCGACTATTGGACACTGAATATCGACTATTTAACACTGAATATTGACTACTGATCGCTGAATATCGAATATTGATCACTGAATATTGACTATTGATCACTGAATATCGACTATTGATCACTGAATATCAATTATTGATCACTGAATATCGATTATTGACTATTGATCACTGAATATCGCCTATTGATCACTGAATATCGACTATCGATCACTGAATATCGACTATTGATCACTGAATATCGATTATTGACTATTGATCACTGAATATTGACTATTGATCACTGAATATCGACTATTGATCACTGAATATTGATTATTGATCACTGAATATCGATTATTGATCACTGAATATCGACTATTGATCACTGAATATCGACTATTGACTATTGATCACTGAATATCAATTATTGATCACTGAATATCGACTACTGGACACTGAATATCGACTATCGATCACTGAATATCGATTACTGACTACCGATCAGAACGCGGGGCAGCCCGCGGGCGCTCACCGTGCAGCAGTGGTTGATGAAGCGCGCCAGGTTGCCGCACTTGGTGGCGTCGATGATGGTGTCGTGGTCCACGCGGAACAGGTAACTGCTGCCGATGCCCTGCTGCGCGTAGCGCTTCTCGCGCATGTCCGCCACCACCTGCGGGCGCCGCGGGCTCACCCTGGGGCCACGGGGCCACCCCGGGGTGCTGCTGGCCACCCCCACCTGGGGTCACTGCGGTGTCACCCTGGGGACACCCTGGGGCCACGGGGCCACCCCGGGGTGCTGCTGGCCACCCCCACCTGGGGTCACTGCGGTGTCACCCTGGGGACACCCTGGGGACTCCGGGGTCACCCCGGGGTGCTGCTGGCCACGGGGCCACCCTGGGCTCACTGCAAACGTTCTGCCCCACGTACTCGATGGCCATCTCGACTGGGGGCTCTGAGGTGACAATGGTGACCCTGAGGTGACACCAGGGGACACTGACCTGTCGGATGTTCTGCCCCACGTACTCGATGGCCATCTCGACTGGGGGCTCTGGGGGGCTCAGGGGACACTGGGGGGCTCTGGGGGGTTCTGGTGACACTGAGGTGACCCTGAGGTGACCCTGTTGAGTTTTGTTTCTCAGGGCAAAGGCCAGTGTTTGGCACTCCATTCTCATCCAGCACCATTGCTTCTGGCTGCTTTTCTAGGGCCATTTATTGTGCTTTTAGGAGTTATTTTCGATTTTCTGATTTTTTTTTGTGAGCTGTTTTTCTGTTCTTGTGTCTTTCATGTGTTTTGGAGCGCTTGTGCAGGTGGCAGCAGCACTCCTGTCCCAGGTGGCAGTGGCACCCCAAAATCCTCCCTTCAGAATTCCTGGCCTCATTCCTGCAAATCCAACTCTGGGATTGCCCTTCCACCCCCGAGTTTGGCAGCCTGGGCCGTGCTCTGCGCCACAAAACCCCAAATTCCCGGACCCTGCCACCGCTCCGGGTTCCATTCCACTGATGCAGCCCCCCAAAATCCCCTGAAATCCCCCCAAAATCCCCCCAAATCCCCCCAAAATCTCTCGACTGGGGGCTCTGGGGGGCTCAGGGGACACTGGGGGGCTCTGGGGACACTGGGGGGCCCTGGGGGGTTCTGGTGACCCTGAGGTGACCCTGAGGTGACAATGGTGACACTGACCTGTCGGATGTTCTGCCCCACGTACTCGATGACCATCTCGTCGGCCGCGATGGGCTCCATGGCGAACAGGCCCCACTCGTGGATGCGGCTGCGGCCGAAGCGAAGGCGCTTCTTCCGGAACTGCGGGACAGGACGGGCACAGGGACACGTCACCGGGGCGGGGACAGGGACAGGGGACACAGATGTGACACACAGGTGACACACGGGTGACAGAGCCCACCTTGAGCTGGTTGAGCTTGAGCAGGTCGCTGTCCGGCAGCGCGGCCGAGCCGATGGCGCTGAGCAGGCGCCGCTGCTCCGAGCGCCGCTCCGACAGCACGCGGTTGGGACCCTGGGGACACGGGGGACAATGCCATGGGGACAGTGCCACGGGGACACTGGGACACTGGGGACACAGGGGACAGGGAAGGGACAGTGCCACAGGGACACTGCTGATGGCGCTGAGCAGGCGCCGCTGCTCCGAGCGCCGCTCCGACAGCACGCGGTTGGGACCCTGGGGACACGGGGGACAATGCCATGGGGACAGTGCCACGGGGACACTGGGACACTGGGGACACAGGGGACAGGGAAGGGACAGTGCCACAGGGACACTGCTGATGGCGCTGAGCAGGCGCCGCTGCTCCGAGCGCCGCTCCGACAGCACGCGGTTGGGACCCTGGGGACACGGGGGACAATGCCATGGGGACAGTGCCACGGGGACACTGGGACACTGGGGACACAGGGGACAGGGAAGGGACAGTGCCACAGGGACACTGCTGATGGCGCTGAGCAGGCGCCGCTGCTCCGAGCGCCGCTCCGACAGCACGCGGTTGGGACCCTGGGGACACGGGGGACAATGCCATGGGGACAGTGCCACGGGGACACTGGGACACTGGGGACACAGGGGACAGGGAAGGGACAGTGCCACAGGGACACTGCTGATGGCGCTGAGCAGGCGCCGCTGCTCCGAGCGCCGCTCCGACAGCACGCGGTTGGGACCCTGGGGACACGGGGGACAATGCCATGGGGACAGTGCCACGGGGACACTGGGACACTGGGGACACAGGGGACAGGGAAGGGACAGTGCCACAGGGACACTGCTGATGGCGCTGAGCAGGCGCCGCTGCTCCGAGCGCCGCTCCGACAGCACGCGGTTGGGACCCTGGGGACACGGGGGACAATGCCATGGGGACAGTGCCACGGGGACACTGGGACACTGGGGACACAGGGGACAGGGAAGGGACAGTGCCACAGGGACACTGCTGATGGCGCTGAGCAGGCGCCGCTGCTCCGAGCGCCGCTCCGACAGCACGCGGTTGGGACCCTGGGGACACGGGGGACAATGCCATGGGGACAGTGCCACGGGGACACTGGGACACTGGGGACACAGGGGACAGGGAAGGGACAGTGCCACAGGGACACTGCTGATGGCGCTGAGCAGGCGCCGCTGCTCCGAGCGCCGCTCCGACAGCACGCGGTTGGGACCCTGGGGACACGGGGGACAGTGAGGGGACACTGGGGACAGTGCCACAGGGACCCTGGGGACACTGGTGACAGGGAGGGGACCCTGGGGACAGACTGACCTGCGTGTCGGGGCACGGGGCAGGGCCGCAGGTAGCGTTAGGGGTTTGGGTCAGGGTTTGGATCAGGGTCAGCACCACGGGGACCCCGGTGCCATCACAGGGGACACAGGTGTCACCGTGGGGGCTCACCTGCGTGTCGGGCGCGTCGGGGTCGGGGCGCGGCGCGGGGCAGGGCCGCAGGTAGCGCGCCTTCTCGCGCCGGCTGATGGGGTAGTAGCCCTCGCTGCGGGCGCTGCCCGTGCGGTGCTCGCGGCTCTCGGGGCGCCGGCGCCGCCGCCGCGGGCTGCTCGTCCTCGTCAGTGCCAGGCGTCAAGGACAACGGTGACAGGGGACGGTGGCACAGGGGGCGGTGGCACCGGGAACCAGGATAACGGCACTGGGACAATGGGCATCCCCACCCCAGTGTCCCCCCGTGTGTCCCCAGCGCCCATCCCCGTGTCCCCAACGCCCATCTGCATGATGTCCCCAACTCGATCCCGTGTCCCCAACACCCATCCCTACGTCCCCAACACTCAATTCCGTGTCCCCAACGCTCTTGTCACGTCCCCAGCGCCCATCCCCATGTCCCCAGCTCAATCCCGTGTCCCCAAGTCAATCCCGTGTCCCCAGTGCTCATCTCTGTGTCCCCAAGTCCTCAACGCCCGATCCCACGTCCCCAACGCTCTTGTCATGTCCCCAAGTCAACCCAATGTCCCCAACACCCATCCCCATCGTCCCCAACACTCAATTCCGTGTCCCCAACGCTCTTGTCACGTCCCCAGCGCCCATCCCCATGTCCCCAACTCAATCCCGTGTCCCCAACTCAACCCAATGTCCCCAACACCCATCCCCATGTCCCCAACTCAATCCCGTGTCCCCAAGTCAATCCCATGTCCCCAGTGCTCATCTCTGTGTCCCCAAGTCCTCAACGCCCGATCCCACGTCCCCAACGCTCTTGTCATGTCCCCAACTCAACCCAATGTCCCCAACACCCATCCCCATGTCCCCAACACTCTTGTCATGTCCCTAAATCTCATCTCCACGTCCCAAACTCAATCCCATGTCCCCAACACCCGTCCGCATGTCCCCAACACTCTTGTCACGTCCCTAAATCTCATCTCCACGTCCCAAACTCAATCCCATGTCCCCAACACCCGTCCGCATGTCCCCAACACTCTTGTCACGTCCCTAAATCTCATCTCCACGTCCCAAACTCAATCCCATGTCCCCAAATACCTGTCTCCATGTTCCCAGTACCCATCCTTGTGTCCCAAATACCCATCCCCATGTCCCCAACGTCTCCCCCAGGTGTCCCCCATGTCCAGGATATCAGTGTGTGGCACCCAGTGGGTGTCACTGAGCCGGAATCCATGCCCATCCTCATGTCCCCAACTCAATCTCATGTCCCCAACACCTGGCACCACGTCCTCAATGCCCAACCCCATGTCCCCAACTCAATCCCGTGTCCTCAACGCCCAATCCCATGTCCCCAACACCCGACACCATGTCCCCAAGTGCCCCAGTGCCCACTCCCATGTCCCCAACACCCACGCAAGTCTCCCTAACGTCCTCCCAGGTGTCCCCAATGTCCCCAAACCCCCGTCACAGCAGGATATCGGTGTGTGGCACCCAGTGGGTGTCGTTGAGCCAGAGCCCTCCCCAACTCAATCTCATGTCCCCAACACCTGGCACCACGTCCTCAACGCCCAACCCCATGTCCCTAACTCAATCCCGTGTCCCCAACGCCCAATCCCATGTCCCCAACACCTGACACCATGTCCCCAAGTGCCCCAGTGCCCACTCCCATGTCCCCAACACCCACGCAAGTCTCCCTAACGTCCTCCCAGGTGTCCCCAATGTCCCCAAACCCCCGTCACAGCAGGATATCGGTGTGTGGCACCCAGTGGGTGTCGTTGAGCCAGAGCCCATCCCCACTGCCATGTCCCCAACTCAGTCCCTGTGTCCCAATCCCCATTCCCATGTCCCCAATGACCCCCAATGACTCCCCAGGTGTCCCCAGCCTCCCTGGGTGTCCCCAATGACCCCAAACCCCTCAGCCTCTCAGGATATCGGTGTGGGGCACCCAGTGGGTGTCATTCAGCCACAGCGCCGCGCCGTCCCCGTGTCCCAATCCCCACTCCCATGTCCCCAGTGACCCCCAACACCCATTCCCATGTCCCCAATGACCCCCCAAGGTGTCCCCAATGTCCCCAAGCCCCTGTCACAGCAGGATATCGGTGTGGGGCACCCAGTGGGTGTCGTTGAGCCACAGCACCGCGCCATCTCTGTGTCCCCAACACCCATCCCCATGTCCCCAATGTCCCCAAACCCCTCATCCAGGCAGGATATCGGTGTGGGGCACCCAGTGGGTGTCATTGAGCCACAGCGCCGCGCCGTCCCCATGTCCCAATCCCCACTCCCATGTCCCCAACACCCATCCCCATGTCCCCAATGTCCCCAAACCCCTCATCCAGGCAGGATATCGGTGTGGGGCACCCAGTGGGTGTCGTTGAGCCACAGCACCGCGCCATCTCTGTGTCCCCAACACCCATCCCCATGTCCCCAATGTCCCCAAGCCCCTGTCACAGCAGGATATCGGTGTGGGGCACCCAGTGGGTGTCGTTGAGCCACAGCGCCGCGCCGTCCTGCTGCAGCAGCCGCTCGTAGGTGAGGCGCAGGAAGCGCGCGTCCTCGGCGTCCAGCCCGGCGCTCCAGATGTCGTACAGGATCGTCATCTGCTCGAACTCGCTGCGCGGCGCGAACGCCACCGGGCCGGGGGACGCCGGGGCGTCCCCGCGGGGCTGCCACCACCCCTCCTCATCCTCCTCGTCGTCGCTCCCGCTCTCCTCGCTGTCGCTCGAGGAGGAGGAGGATGATGATGATGATGATGATGACGGCGGTGGCGGCGCTCGGTGCCGCTTCCTCCTGGCCGTCGCCGCCCTGCTCTCGGTGGCGCCGGCGGGTGGCACCTCGGCCACCACCTCCTCGGGGGCCTCCAGCACCTCCTCCAGGCAGGGCCCCAGCCCGCCCGGGGGTCTCGGCGGCGGGGGCAGGGCGTAGTTGTGCTCCAGCAGCACCGGGGCCGCGCCGCCGTCCCCGCCGTCCCCCTCGGTGTCCCCGCGGGTCAGGGCGATGGCCGCCAGCACCGCCAGGTCCCCCCCGCCCTGGGGACCCCCGGGGGGAGCCCCCCGGGCCAGCTCCAGCAGCGAGGTGGCCCCCAGGTGCTCGGCGGGGGGGCGGCGGCGGGGGAGGGGCGGGTTTGTTCCTCCTCCTCTTCCTCTGTGGGGACACGCGGTGACACCGGCTCGGTCACGCGCTCTGGCTCCTCCCCAGTGCTCCCCAAATGTTCCCAATCCCATTTTCCCATTTTCCCCTTTTTTTTCCCCCCAATTTTCTCCCATTTTATCCCCATTTTTCCCTTTTTTCGCCATTTTCCCCAATTTTTCCCCAATTTTCCCCATTCTTTCCCATTTTTCCCAATGTCCCCAATCCCATTTCCCCCCCTTTCCCCCAGTTTTCCCACTTTCCCCCTTTTTCCCCATTTTTCCCCATTTTCCCCAAATCCCCACCTTTTCCCCCCATTTCCCCCCCTTTTTTCCCCATTCTTTTCCCATTTTTTCTGCTTTTTTCCCCAATTTCCCCCCTTTTTTTCCCATTTTTTCCAATTTTCCCCATTTTTTTCCCAAATCCCCCGTTTTTCCCCCATTTTTGCCCCGTTTTTCCAAAATCCCCATTTTTCGCCCCATTTTCCCCATTTTTTCCCATTTTCCCCCTTTTTTTCCCAAATCCCCCGTTTTTCCCCCATTTTTGCCCCGTTTTTCCAAAATCCCCATTTTTCGCCCCATTTTCCCCATTTTTTCCCAAATTTGGGGGATTTTTGGGGTTTTGATTGGGGTTTTTTGGGGTTTCTAGAAGAGGATTTTGGGTTTTTTAGGGGGATTTGGGGGAATTTGGGATTTAGGATTTTTTTGGGGGGTTGGGGGAATTTTTGGGGATTTTTGGGGTTTTGATTGGGGTTTTTTGGGTTTTTTTGGGGCTTTTTGGGGAAATTTGGGGTTTTTTAGGGGGATTTGGGGATTTTTGGGAATTTCTGGGATTTTTAGGGGTTTTTTTGGGTTTTGATTTGGGGTTTATTGGGGTTTTTGGGGGGCTTGGGGAAATTTGGGGATTTTTTGGGGATTTTTGGGGTTTTGATTTGGGTCTATTTGGGGTTTTGGGGAAATTTCTGGGATTTTGGGGGTTTTGGGGGATTTTCGGAGTTTTTTGTGGTTTTGGGATTTTTTTGGGGCTTTTTGTGGTTTTGGGATTTTTTTTCGATTTTCGGAGCTTTTTTGCCGTTTTTGGGACTTTTTGGTTTTTTCTGTTTTTGGGATTTTTTTGTATTTTTGGCTTTTTTGCCGTTTTCGGGGTTTTTTTGGGGTTTTTTTGTGGTTTTTGGGGGGGGTCTCACCATCCTCATCCTCCTCGGGGGGGGTCGGGGGCCGGGGTCGCTTCTCCTCCCCCCCCTCCCCCAGCTCCGAGGGCTCTTTCCGCTTCACCTGCGGGAAAATGGGGCGAAAAGGCGGGAAAATGGGAAAAAGGGAGAGAAAACGGGAAAAAAAACAGGAAAATGGGAAAAAAAGGGAGAAAATGTGGGGAAAAAAACCAGGAAAATGGGAAAAAGGGAGGGAAAAAAGGGGAAAATGGGGAAAAGAAGAGAGGAAAGCGGGAAAAAATGGGGGGAAATGGGAAAAAAAGAGATAAAAATGGGAAAAAGGGAAAAAGGGAGAAAAAGGGAAAAAGGGGGAAAAATGGGGAAAAAACACAGGAAAATGGGAAAAAAGAGAGAAAAAAGTGGGGAAAATATATGGGAAAAAAAACAGGAAAATGGGAAAAAAAGGGAGGGAAAAAAGGGGAAAATGGGGAAAAGAAGAGAGGAAAGCGGGAAAAAATGGGGGAAATGGGAAAAAAAGAGAGAAAAAATGGGAAAAAGGGAGAAAAAGGGAGAAAAAGGGAAAAAGGGGGAAAAATGGGGAAAAAACACAGGAAAATGGGAAAAAAGAGAGAAAAAAGTGGGGAAAATAGAGAAAAGTGGGGGGAAATGGGGAAAAAGGGGAAAAATGGGGAAAAATGCAGGAAAATGGGAAAAAGGGAAAAAAATGGAAAAAGGGAGAAAAAGGGAAAAAGGGGGAAAAATGGGGAAAAAACACAGGAAAATGGGAAAAAAGAGAGAAAAAAGTGGGGAAAATAGAGAAAAGTGGGGAAAAATGGGGAAAAAGGGGAAAAATGGGTAAAAATGCAGGAAAATGGGAAAAAGGGAGAAAAAATGGGGGAAAAGGGGGAAAAATGGGGGAAGAGAGAGGAAATGGGGAAAAAAAGAGGAAAATGAAAAAAAAAACGAAAAAAATGGGGGAAAAGGGGGGAAAATGGGAGAAGAGAGAGGAAAATGGGGAAAAAAAGAGGAAAATGGAAAAAAAAACGAAAAAAATGGGAGAAAAGGAGAGGAAAATGGGAAAAAGTGGGGGAAAAAGAGAAATAATGGGAAAAAGGAGAGGAAAATGGGAAAAAGGGAGAAAAACAGGGAAAAAAGGGAGAAAAATGGGAAAAAAATGAAAAAAAAGGGAAAAAAAGGGGAAAAATGGGGAAAAAGGGAAAAGAATGGGAAAAGAGAGAGAAAAATGGGGAAAAAAAAGAGAAAAATGGGGAAAAAAAGAGAAAAATGGGGGAAAAAGAGAAACGGGAAAAGAAAGAGAAAAATGGGGGAAAAAAAGAGAAAAATGGGGGAAAACAGACAAAAACAGTCATTTTTCCCCCACCTTGACCTGCTCCTCCTTGCACATTTTGGGGCAGTTTTGGGTGGTTTTAGGGCAGTTTTGTGGCAGACTTTGGCCAGTTTTCGGGCAGATTTTTGGGGTGTTTTAGGGCAGGTTTTGGGGCGCATTTTGGGTCATTTTGGGGCATTTCTGTCCCACCTCGACCTGCTCCTCCTTGCACATTTTGGGGCACATTTTGGGGCGCTTTAGGGCGGTTTCAGGGCACATTTTGAAGCACATTTTATGGCACTTTTGGGACAGATTTTGGGGTGTTTTAGGGCAGGTTTTGGGGCGCATTTTGGGTCATTTTGGGGCATTTCTGTCCCACCTCGACCTGCTCCTCCTTGCACATTTTGGGGCACATTTTGGGGCGCTTTAGGGCGGTTTCAGGGCACATTTTGAAGCACATTTTATGGCACTTTTGGGACAGATTTTGGGGTGTTTCAGAGCAGATTTTGGGGCGGTTTTGGGTCACTTTTAAGGCACATTTAGGGCAGTTTTGGAGCAGATTTTGGAGCAGTTTTTGGGGCATTTTTGGTGGGAATTTTTTGAGGAAATTTGGGATTTTTGGGGGGAAATTTTTGGAGTTTTTTTGAGTTTTTTGGGGGGAATTTTGAAGCATTTTCTGGAGACTTTTTGGGAATTTGGGGAATTTGGGGCTTTTTTGGGGGGGATTTTTTATTTTCTAAGAATTTTTGGGGATTTGGGGAGAATTTTTGGGGATATTTTGGGGATTTTGAGTTTTTTGGGGGGATTTTTTTTTAATTTTTGGGGAATTTTGGGGGATTTTGGGTTTTTTGGAATTCTGGAGGAGTTTGGGGATTTTTTGGATTTTTTTAGGAATTATTTAGATTTTCTTTTCTTTTTTTTTTTTAGGATTTTTGGGGATTTTTGGGATTATTTTGGAGAATTTTTTAGGATAATTTTGGGGGTTTTTATTTTTTTTTTCCCCTGTTTTTTTTAGGGATTTTTTGGGGATTTTTTTTTTATTTTTTAGGAATTTTGGGGGATTATTTTTAATTATTATTTTTAGGCATTTTTTTGGATTTTTTAATTTTTAAGAAATTTTGGTAGAATTATTTTAAATTATTATTTTTAGGGATTTTAATGAATTTTTTGATAATTTCAGGAGATTTTTTTAATTTTTAATGAATTTTTTACCATTTTTTGGTCATTTTTGGGGCTATTTTCACGATTTTTGAGGGGATTTTTTGGGGTAATTTTTTAAAATTATTTCCTCTGCTAATTTGGGATTAATTAATGACTAACTGTAATTAGGTGTCCCCCGAGGAGCGCCGGGGGATTTGGGGGGCATTTTTGGGGGGATATTTCTATTTTGGGGGGATTTTTTGGGGATTTATTTATTTTTTTTTAATTATTCTTTTTTAGGGATTTTTTTGGATTTTTTTAATGATTTCAGGGGATTTTAATTTCATTTTTTATCGATTTTTTGGGCACTTTTTGGGGCATTTTTGGGGCATTTTTGTGCCATTTTTGGGGCTAGTTTCACGATTTTTGCGGGGATTTTTGGCGGTAATTCTTTTCTTCATTAATTGCTCTGCTAATTAACGATGATTTTAATTATTATCCCACTGCAGGTGTCCCCCAAGGAGCGCGTGGGGATTTTGGGAGACTTTTTTTTGTTGTTGTTTTTTTTGGGTCACTTTCAGTCATTTTTCCCCCACCTTGACCTGCTCCTCCTTGCACATTTTGGGGCAGTTTTGGGTGGTTTTAGGGCAGTTTTGTGGCAGACTTTGGCCAGTTTTCGGGCAGATTTTTGGGGTGTTTTAGGGCAGGTTTTGGGGCGCATTTTGGGTCATTTTGGGGCATTTCTGTCCCACCTCGACCTGCTCCTCCTTGCACATTTTGGGGCACATTTTGGGGCGCTTTAGGGCGGTTTCAGGGCACATTTTGAAGCACATTTTATGGCACTTTTGGGGCTGATTTTGGGGTGTTTTAGGGCAGTTTTGGGGCACATTTTGTGGCACTTTTGGGGCTGATTTTGGGGTGTTTCAGAGCAGATTTTGGGGCGGTTTTGGGTCACTTTTAAGGCACATTTAGGGCAGTTTTGGAGCAGATTTTGGGGCGGTTTTGGGTCACTTTTAAGGCACATTTAGGGCAGTTTTGGAGCAGATTTTGGAGCAGTTTTTGGGGCATTTTTGGGGCACATTTAGGGCAGTTTTGGAGCAGATTTTGGAGCAGTTTTTGGGCAGGTTTCGCAGCAGTTTTGGGGCAGGTTTTAGCACAGATTTTGGGTCATTTTGGGTCATTTTGGGCCCACCTTGACCTGCTCCTCCTTGCGCATTTTGAGGTGTTTTAGGGCAGTTTTGGGGCAGATTTTGGGGCAGTTTTTGGGCAGGTTTTGGCACAGATTTTGGGGCAGTTTTTGGGTCATTTTGGGTCATTTTTTTGCCCACCTTGACCTGCTCCTCCTTGCGCATTTTGAGGTGTTTTAGGGCAGTTTTGGGGCAGATTTTGGGGCAGTTTTTGGGCAGGTTTTGGCACAGATTTTGGGGCAGTTTTTGGGTCATTTTGGGTCATTTTTTGGCCCACCTTGACCTGCTCCTCCTTGCGCTCCCACCAGGCGTCGAAGGCCCTGAAGGCCACGTTTTGGGGTGTTTTTGGGCAGTTTTGGGGCAGTGTTTGGGGCAGATTTCGGGGCAGTTTTTGGGTCACATTTTGGGGCAGATTTTGGGGTGCCACCCAAGACCCATCAAAATCTGCCCAAATCCACTCAAAACTTCCCAAAACCACCAAAATCCGCCCAAAAAACACGAAAATCCACCCAAAACCCACCAAAGTTCATCAAAATCCACCCAAAAACCACCAAAATCCCCCCAAAATCCACCCAAAGCCCACCTAAATCCTCCCAAAACCAACCAAAATCCATCAAATTTCACCAAAATCCACCCAAAACCCATCAACATCCACCCAAATCCAGCCAAAAACCACCAAAATTCGCCCAAATTCACCAAAATCCGCCCAAAACCAAAGAAGTCCAACCAAAACCCACCCAAATACACCCAAAAACCACCAAAATCCCTCAAGTTTCACCAAAATCCACCCAAACCCATCCAAATCCGCCAAAATCCACCCAAAATTCCCCAATTTCCCCCAAAAAAGTCCCAAACTTCCCCCAAACCCCCCCAAAATCCCCTCAAAATGTCCCAAATCCCCCGAAAACGTCCCAAACTCCTCAAATCTCCCCAATTCTCCCCTGAACCCCCCCCAAAATTATCCCAATTTTCCCCAAAATCCCCCCAAATCCCCCTAAA